AAAAAATTTTTTTTTTTTTTTTTTTGTGGATATAACAAGCACCTCAATCTGGTCTCATAAGACTTACAATACAGCCAAAAAAAAAATGTTTTAGGTTAGTAAGTCATTCAGTGCTTTAAAAACTAAAATAAACCTTAGTAACACTTTATTTGAAGGTGTCCTTATAACACGTTACATGTACTTACTATAATAATAACAATTAATTATGCATAATTACATGCAAGTAACCCTAAGCCAAACCCAAATCCTAACCCTAACCATATAGTAAGTACATGTAGTTAATTAATATTACTCAGAATTTATATGAATAATTACACTGTAACAAGGACACCTTAAAATAAAGTGTAACCAAAACCTTAAAAGCTTGTACTTAATGGGCAACCAATGCAAATCAGCTAAAACAGGTGTAATGTGGTGTATGATATACAGAATCTTATTTCATCGGCATTGATCTCTAGATATCTGTGTTGGCATCAGCATTAAAAAAAACTCATATTGTTTGACTAACCAGAGTATCATAGACTTACAGTTAGGACTCTTTTGACTTGTGGCAATAAATAACCACCTAGCGACCACCCAGAACACTTTTACTACTTAATATCAATACCTTAGCGACCTCAGTATCATTGCAGGAACTTTTGTATGGGCAAATCGTGACTAAATGCACACAGCAGTACTGTATCTGCACTTCCTAGTTGGCAGGCCCACGTTTGATGTGGTTTCACACATTTGTCAGAACCATCTCTGCGCTGGTTAATGAGAGCGAAACGAGACTGTAGAAGAGATTAAACTCTGTTCTCAAGCCTGCTGAGGTGCATTCAGGCTAATGAGCGTCCGTATCGGAGCTGCCACTAAATTAAACCTTTTCAGCCCACGTGGAAGGATCCAGTGGCTGCCTGACAGATCGCTGTGAGAGCATCAGTCGAGAAGAGCTCCGAGAGCTAGTGGGAGGTCTTTCTCTCGACGGCTCTTTCCTAATCCGGTTCGCAAAGTGAGCGAGAAAGAAGGGCCAGGTTGGGTCTAGGAAAATGGTGGCTGTTGTGTGTGATAGAAACAATGAAATTAAACACCCAACTAGCACACAAGGGCAGGAATTGCCCACTGAACCTGGAGAACAGAGGTCTTTTGTAGCAGCTATTGTGAAGGAGATACCATAGGGCTTTTGTTCAGCACAGCTCAGTCAAGCAGCCTGTACCCACCCCCACCTCCCCGGCAGCATTTTCCAGCCAGTGGAGCAGCACATTGCCTATATTTCACATTAGTTCATTTCTTTTACCAAAGACACAAATCTATCATTAGGAGATTCAAGCATTTATTGCTTTTTCACTTGCTTGATTTGCCTGATTTTACCTGTTGCCTGATCGTAACCCTTCAAATATTGCTTAGTGCACCTTTAATGGTTCATAATGAAGAAAAGACTCATTAAAAACACAATTCTTAAAAAGAAAACCTTACTGAGTGGCATAATTGTTTGCATTCGGTTACAATTATATTCAACATATTTTGTCCACTAAATCAGAGTCATGTGGTGTGGTGAACAAAGTCATGTGATGCAGTAAAAAAAACATAACAGGAAATGATATCATAGAGGAGCTCTGCACACCCTTATGACTGTGTGTCAGGGTCAACAAGTCTTTTAAAATATCATAATATAAGTCTTTTTATTACAATGAAAGATTAGTTAAATTTGTAAAATGTCATATGGAGTCCAAAACATATAGACATATAACAATATATGTGAATTCATGATATTTGTAAATAAAACTTTTTACCCTGAAAATACATTTAAAAAGTTGAAAATAGCAATTAAGATGTGCAAAATTGTATTCAAGGTGTAAGTAAAATGTTTTTACTGTTTACCTATGGTTACACCACATTAAATTTGTACTGTAATTTAATGTAATTAATTTAATTTAGTTTTCTACAATAAAAAAAAAAAACTGTAAAACAGAGTACATTTTTACAAACTTTAAAAATATTTGTATTGCTTTATATGTACAAAACAATTTTAAAATATAAACTCTGAATATGCAAATGGATTTACTTTTTATATGTTGTATGTATGTTATACTATTGATTACAGAAATGCTGAAGTGATTGTTGTTTTGAGCATATCACATCAAATAACACTGGCGACCTGATGCTTGGATGTGTGCTTTAGTGCTGGAGGATTTTTTCATCGACTGTCCTTAGAGTTGAAGGTGATGTAAAGATTGAGGGTTACAACAGTGTCATATCCGGGGCATGCTAAAAAATAATAGAACGACAGTACAGATATGGTCATTGAATGTGACGGCCTGTCATGCTGAGTTTGATAGACTCCTTAGTGACTTTAGTGTGTGTGTGTGTGTGTGTGTGTGTGTGTGTGTGTGTGTGCTTTTTGGGAGGCTGGTGTCATGACATTGTCTTGCTGTGGGGTCTCGACATGTTAATGTTTGTGTGCTTCTCTTGGTAGTTTTCAGAGAGCACCTCAGGTCACCCACTGCCTTTGTGTACCACAATTTTACATTATAAATTCACTTTCAGTATTTGCCATAGATCAAGCTCAGATCTCATCCTGCTGTGCTCTATGGATAAACTAGTTTTAGAATGCAAGATAACAAGTTGCAGTTGTGGAATGTTAAGCCATAAATTGAAGATATAAGAAGATTTAGTGAAATACTGTGTGAGGCATCAAAATCAGCCATTCAGAACACATTTGATGGTTAATATACAGATGTAATGTGAGTCTCAGGTGTCCCCAGAATGTGTCTGTTGAAGTTCCAGATCAAAATACCCCACGGATCATTTATTATATCATTTTGAAAATGCCTATTTTGAGGAGAAGCAGAAACATGCAGTTTTCGTGCCTGTATCTTTAAATGCAAATGAGCTGCTGCTCCCCGCCCCCTTTTCCAGAATAGGGCTGTTCCTTTACAGCTCGTACGTCAGATACTCTGATAAAAAACGTCAGTTTGGTTTTGATTATCATGTCTATCGTGCTGAAATCATGCGTTTTAAACCCACATTAGTTTAAACTTCTGATATAGTGTTTTCTGAGCGCACACATCCGAAGCACACGCACAGAAAGCGTCTGTCACATGGCATGTGAGTACTAAACTAAGTTCTCTTCATATCTTATTGTGCTTAAACTGTCAAATGCACAAAGGTTTGTTAAAAACACATTTACAAAAACAGTCGGTTATGTCTGTGAAGGTAAACAGATGGGAAAGAAATTGCATGTTTAGATTAGATCTGTGTGGCAGTAGTATAATATACAGTAAATAAATCCACTGCTCTGTTGTCTCCTCTGAGGCTGGGACTCTAAATAGTGTTCTGTGCTCGTCTGTGCAGCGAACGATAGAACAGTTAGCATGCTTTGCTCAAACTTTAGCCATGGCACTAGAACTGGTACACCGTTGTCGCTTGCGAAAACAAGAATGGCGTCGCCGTGAGTGGAAACATGCAGATAAAGGGGTGGTGATATTATAATAAGATCCCTTTGCCACGTCACAAATGGAGCGAAATCTGACGCTCTCGTTTTCTCAGACGCTTGCAGAAAAAGGCTTCCCAAAACCAAGTTGCTGGGTTAATCTTTTTCACGTTTCCTGGGTTGGTAGATGCACCGGGGACCTGATTATAGCACTTACAACCTGGAAAAAGTCTGATTGTCATGATATGTCACCTTTAAAATGAACTTTGTAATGTTAAATTAAAAATGTTACTTTAAAAGACATTTTAAATTGTTTTTTTAATAACATTTTGTCGTTCTTAAAATAAGTACATGTGAAGTACTTGATGATAATAAAGTAAGTGACCAAAGACGTAAAATTCAGTTTGCACAAAAAAATACAACAAAATGCAGACATTGAAGAAAAGATGGCAAACAAAGCAAAAATGTTACATTTTTCCTGAAATCATTGCCGAAAACAGCCCTATTCCCAGAGCAGGCCAGCACTGGGAACCCTAATGAGATCTGCACACATTATTTAACAATTTCTTCTCTTATTCTTCTTTGTTTTCCGCACTATGAGTCTGTCAGGTCCAGAAAAAAGAGGTGCTGAGGACACACATATTGCTTTGTTGGCTTGTAAATGTGGTCAGCTCAGCGCTGAATCTCTGGGTTCTTGCCACAGAGGATCCTGGTGAAGTGGGCCGCCGTGTGATTGTGCGATTCAGCACAGCCGTCGACAGACAGCGGAAATGAGATGCTGTGAGTTACTGTTTAATAACACACGGCCCATAGTAAACATAATGGATGCCTGACTTCTTCAAAGAGCCGTGTGATCGTCCCTCTCGTTCTGTCTCTCTTGCTCTCCATTTTTTCCTCTGAGGCTTCCGTGATGGAGCTGCGTGCCTCTCTTCTCTCTTCTCCTCTCCCTTTTTCATATGCTGCTGATCTTTCTATTCTTTTCCTCCCTTTTTCTCTCCAGGGAACTGCCTCAATCTCTGAGAGAGAACGTTCTGCTCTTTTCGTGTGCCGCTGCAGGCATCTCTCTTATTTAGTATGCACACATACATACATCACATCGTTTTATCGCAGATGTGCAATCACGTACACACATACACAGACACCCACAAAGGAAAGCAGTGCTAGATCTATATCAACCGCGCTTGCATCTGACAGTCTGTTAAAGGAATATTTTCACTCAAAAATGTGTTGTGAATGATTTGTTCCCATTCCCAAATCTGATTTATGTGCACTCTTAAAAATAAAGCTTCTTTATCGGCATCTATGGTTCCATGAAGAACATCCGTGGAACCTTTCCATCACACAAAATGTTCTTTATAGTGGAAAAAGTTCTTTAGATTTTTTCTAGAATGTTCTTCGCACTAAGAAAAACTAAATGGTTCTTTTAAGAACAGTTGACCGAAATGTTCTTTGGGGAACCAAAAAATGGTTCTTCTGACATTGCAGCAAAACCCCTCTTTTACAAGAACCTTTATTTTGAAGAGTATGAAGCTATACAATCAATAGTAGACACACAATCCCAGATGATTTGGTGTTGGGGAGAAATGTTTGAGTTCATATTTTGACTCTTTGACTGCAGACTTTGGTATCTTGGCAATTCTGAGCACATCTCTTCAGAAATTCTGAAGAAGACATCACTTTTTCTCAAGAGGAACACCAGAGAAACTGGACTTCATCAGGAATCTGAATTTGCTCTCTGCTTACTGTAGTTTCTACAATGCTGACTGAGAACATTTGAGATATTAAAGAATTCTCATTTGTGATATTACTTTTCTACAGGTTACACGCAGGATAGTAATGATCGATGATGTTTCAGCATAGTTTGGAGGACATGTTTGGTTTCCATGTTTGGTTCAAGAGAATCTGTCAGAGCCATAAAATTATGGCAAGAACAGTGAGCTCCACAAATAATTTCCACCATGGCAACTCATACAGACCTTAATAACAACACAGACTGTGGATAAATGCTCTCTGTTTTTCTCCCTCCATCACTCCTTCATCCACATTCCCAGTGGAATTAACTTTTTTTTTAATTATCAAACATATGTATCTATTAAAATGGGTTGTTGAGACTGTAGAGACTGGAAAAAAACAGCATGAAAGTATTACTAAAGAAAACATACCTGTACAACTTGTGCACTTTATTCCAAATCTTCTGAAGCCATACACAAGTCAGAAATGTAAGTAATTATTCACTGAAACTACATTTTTCAATTATCTAATTCATCAATTCACATTTTAAAACTTGAGTTTGATCCAATAATCCACATTCCCAGTGGAATTAACTTTTTTTTTTATTATCAAACATATGTATCTATTAAAATGGGTTGTTGAGACTGTAGAGACCGGAAAAAAACAGCATGAAAGTATTACTAAAGAAAACATACCTGTACAACTTGTGCACTTTATTCCAAATCTTCTGAAGCCATACACAAGTCAGAAATGTAAGTAATTATTCACTGAAACTACATTTTTCAATTATCTAATTCATCAATTCACATTTTAAAACTTGAGTTTGATCCAATAATTGGTTCTTACTTGTCTTGTAAATGAACATCAGCATGGGTGTCACTAGGCCATTTTTAGGGGGCTATAGCCCAACACATCTGTTGAGATATTAATCAAAAACACAAAGCACAAACAGTCAAGGAATTCCCATTGGACGCTGGTTATAAATGGCTTCCTTCTGGTCCGGTGGATTGTCTGAGACATTAAGCTGTGAGAATGCAGGATATAACACCCGTTGATCTGATTACTTCAGTTTTTCTGGCTTTCATGAGAACCATTTTCCTGTTCATTTGTGGACATGTGTGAGTCTTTTTATCTAAATTCATTTGGTGTGGCATCAATGACACTGGTAGGAAATGTGAGCAGAACTAACATTTTTATGCAATATATAATGTTTGGCTGTAGTTGTATGAATCTGCATACATACCTTGTGGAATGAAATTATTTTAGTTACAGTTTAATTAGGCCTACATAATAACATGATTAAAGTGTTCTGGTTACTCAAGCAGTACTGCATGGTGCTAGAAACGTCAAGGTTATGGGTTCCCAGAGAATGCATGAACTGATTAAATGTATACCGTGAATGCAATGTAAATTGCTTTGGATTAGGCACCTGGCAGATGTGTAATGATTAACTAGCGTTAGCATTGTTAGCACCATGATCTACTGTAGAGCCCTGCACGGGCCTCAAATTTAGGCCATAGCCCGGCCCTGGCCCGAGATGCTCAGGCCCTAGCCCGGCCCGTGTCCGACAGCTCATCAGAATTCATGGCCCGAGTCCGCTTCACATGAAAACGGCTGCAGACTTCGATCAGCACCTCCCCGTCTTGAAGCGGCTCCTCCCCAGCTTTAAAATTTTGTGTGTGTACAGTAAACAGATTTTAAAAAGAATTATATATATAGTCCATATGTCACAGATGTTTGCTTCTGCTGAGATGGCAACAGTACAATTTCTTTTGTCATCTGTATTTTATTATTAGTACTAGAGCCCTGCACGGGCCTCAAATATAGACCCTAGCCCGGCCCTGGCCCGAGATGCTCAGGCCCTAGCCCGGCCCGTGTCCGACAGCTCATCAGAATTCATGGCCCGAGTCCGACCCGAGCCCGTCTTTTTTTCCCCCTTCTCCCAAAACAGCTTATACTACTCTTTCAGCTATTAGAATAGTTCAGTTTTTTATGTAATGTCAAAGTGATTATATTTTGTTTCGCTTTTTTATTAAGTTAATTTAGAAAAACGTTTGGAGCATTTATTTGTTCGTTAAATGTAAGTTTTTGTTTTTTAAAGTAACGACCAACGCTTTCATTATAAAATCCGTAAAGATGCACTACTCAAAGGCACGTCTAATGAGATGGCAAATCAGGATTGTCATCTTCATCTTTGCGACACGGACTCAGAAAACACTAATTTATTAATAAATAATTCAAATATATCCTTACTATTTCCCCCCAACATATACATGGTAACTTTGCGGCAAGCTTTATTTTGTGTGCTCACGTCACGTTGGTGTGCGCCATGGTCATGAAAACTCATAATTTGCATGCATTTTTAAGCATTGTGGTTTAAAAACAAGTGATCGAAGCTCAAAAAAACAGCACTACATGTGCAAGCTGTCTGTTTCTGAGCGTTATTTCTGCAATTGGGTCGGATCGAGGTCGGGTCATAATCACACCTTAAACCTTTATTGGCTATTTGCTTTATAACAAACAAACTGGCTTTAAACAAAAATATCTAGCCATTTGAAATTAGAGGCAACCACTGCTCTGCATGGTCAACTGTCACCTGTATGCTAATGTGTGCATATTGCAGCGATGTATAATATTTATAATATAATAAATATAACAATATCTCATACAGTAGCATATGTGTGCTCGGCGCGTATATGGGCACAATAAAAGGAGAGAAGCTAAATGAGCCCGAGTCCGACCCGAGCCCGATCTGTAAAAAAAAAAAATGGCCTGAGCCCGGTCCGAATTAACTCAGAGTGTCGGACCCCATCAGGACCCGACGGGCTTGCAGGCCTCTAAGCCAGACACCTCTTAGAGGGCAAGAAGACCACCTCTGGTACCAAGCCCGGGAAGGACAGGACTTCTTATTGATAAAAATGTAGTTTCTGCCCTTCACCAACCGAGAGACTGATTCCTAAAGTTTGGCCTGTGACTGCCAAAAAAAGTCCTTAGGACCTCCAGGATGTAGCAGCAGTGAGTGAGCCCGGGACCCGACAGGCTTGCAGACCTCTACTACTGTCGATTACAGCATTCCATGTTTGGTTTCCTGTTGTGTCATTGTGTGCTATTTATTGTATTTTAGTTTTTCATTTTATTCATTTATTTATTTATTTAAAATTAATATCCGTGGCGCCTGACGATATATAGAGGTCTTATGAAGCAAAACGATCAGTCTGTGCAAGAAACTGAACATTATTTACAACATTATTACCTGTAATCTAGAGCCACAGGCAAACGGTCCGGAGTGATGTGTGGTTCACGAATGAATCATTCTTTTGAACCGGTTCTTTTTGGTGAACTAGAATAAACAGCTCTAAAAAAGAATGAATGGCTCGAGCAGCACAAATCTACAAGTTACTCAATCAAAACTCACTTTCAGATGTACCTGACAGTCACTCCAACTTGAAATGGTACAAAGTAGCAGCGAATCTGATCCTGTGATGAATGAACTCAATCAGTGCTCCAGTTCCTCCAACAGTCACTGAACTGAATAAACAGTTCGACTCGGACCGTTGACCGATGAGCCGCTGATATGAGCATGCATGAACCGAACACTTGAATGAAAGGGTGAAATGAAAGTTTTGTAGTTGACTAAGACTTGTTTATTCACTTTATATGTTTTAGACATGTAAAACATCCGCATATCACATCATTATTGGGTGTTGTAATAATGCGTATCTGCTACGGCATTGCGTGATTTCATAAATGAACTAGTGAATTGAACCAGTTCATTGAAACAAACGGTCCGATCTTTAAGGCAGAAACATGCATGTGTACAGCGATCTACTTTAATTATGACAGTGATTAATTTAACATAATTTCACTCACTGAACTGTAGGGGGCTCAGATGATGTAAAAATACACAAAACTGCATCCAGTTGCTTTAAAAGGGATGATTTTAGAGATGCAACTTTTCAGAGAGTGGTTTTACAGTGAATACTGTCCAAGCACCGCATACATTGAGCATGCTAATTGAAGGACCTCTAAAATATAAATCGCTTAAAAATTGAAGAAAGAATTTGAAGAGAAATGGAAATAAATAAGTATCAAATGAAAAATGCCATCTACAACAAGTCATCCTTGCTAAGCTTCTATCACTAATCAAAATGAATAATCTTAATATCAAGGGAAATAATCAACAGTTAGGATTTTTGTCATAATCATCTGGCATTTGAATGTCACTGTGCTTGAATCATTATGTGTAGGCTCACTAACTGAGGGAGCGATTAGCACACAAAAGCTGCTGGTCTAATAGGCTTTATCGTGTTTATCTCTCTGTGATAAGTGCTCTCTGCCTCTCTTTTCATTTTTTTTTTCCTCTCTCCACTCAGAGGCTGAATGTAATTAGTTCTCATGCACAGGTAGCAGGGAGTTGGGTCTATGAAACATGGGTTTCAGGGCTCCAATTTCTCACTTCTCTGCGATTGAAATTCCACCTCTCGGCGCTCCGCATCCCGTGTAACCGTATAAATATTATGTCTCCCTAGGAACACAATAGTGGTGTTTATTTATTATTTTTTATTTAGGGCATGTTTTTTGCCAGGTTGGATTTGAGAGGGTTTCATATTCTCACAGGAGTGGATTACAATATGCCTGAAGGGTCTGTAGAATAGATTAAAGAGCAGGAGAGAGTAGTAGACACTCTTACACACAAAAGATATTGAGTCTGTTTGTCAAACAGGCTGCCGCTTTCTCTTTAAATAGACAGTCAGTGTTCTAGAAGCTTCTGATATGAGGTTTGAAGAAATCTTAAGACGACATTTTTTTAATTCCTAAAAAATTATAGGTCACTTCAAAAAGTACATTTGCAACATCCCTTTGAAAAAGTACACTTCAGCATAAAAAAAGAGTATATTAGAAATGTGTTATGGAAATAATAGATTTGAAAAGAATACACTTACGTTTGAACTAAATGTAATGTTTTCAGACATTTAATTTAATTTTATTTGCAATTAAATGAAAATGTATTTTAGTTTGGGTCTAAGGGGTTGTTAAGGGCTTCTGGGTGGTTTTTAGCACATTGCTGTGTGCTTTTGTGGTGTTTCGGGTGGTTCCTAGGGCGTTGCTGTGTGGTTGGGTTAGGTTTAGGGTTCTGAAAGATTTTTAATATGTGACTCTGGACCACAAAACCAGTCATAAGGGTAAATTTAAACTGCTCACCCACACGACGCCATACACGCTTTCTGCCATCTGCCCTGTACAGTGAAAGCCGGGATTCATCCGTGAAGAGAACATCTCTCCAAAGTGCCAGACGCCATCGAGTGTGAGCATTTGCCCACTCAAGTCGGTTATGACGACGAACTGCAGTCAGGTCGAGACCCCGATGAGGACGACGAGCATGTAGATGACTTTCCCTGAGACGGTTTCTGACAGTTTGTGCAGAAATGTTTTGGTTATGCAAACCGATTGTTGCAGCAGCTGTTCGGGTGGCTGGTCTCAGATGATCTTGGAGGTGAAGATGCTGGATGTGTAGGTCCTGGGCTGGTGTGGTTACACGTGGTCTGTGGTTGTGAGGCCGGTTGGATGTACTGTCAAATTCTCTGAAACGCCTTTGGAGATGGCTTATGGTAGAGAAATTAACATTCAATTCACGGGCAACAGCTCTGGTGGACATTCCTGCAGTCAGCATGTCAATTGCACGCTCCCTAAAAACTTGCGACATCTGTAGCATTGTGCTGTGTGATAAAACTACAAATTTTAGAGTGGCCTTTTATTGTGGCCAGCCTAAGGCACACCTGTGCAATAATCATGCTGTCTAATCAGCATCTTGATATGCCACACCTGTGAGGTGGATGGATTATCTTGGCAAAGGAGAAGTGCTCACTAACACAGATTTAGACAGATTTGTGAACAATATTTGAGAGAAATAGGCCTTTTGTGTACATAGAAAAAGTCTTAGATCTTTGAGTTCAGCTCATGACAAATGGGGGCAAAAACAAAAGTGTTGCGTTTATAATTTTGTTCAGTGTATGTATATATATATA